ATAATATTGTTGTCCATTATTATCTTTAATTATAACTTTTTGAATTAAGAAAGAAATTATTTCATTCAGTTAATATTATTACTATTTTTATATGAATAGACAAAATATTAACTAATTATAATAATTAATTAAAAATTATATAAAAATAATAATAGTAACTGTATGTACTTGAAAGAGTTGAATACTAAATAGTTGGAAAAGAGTATTAAAAAAAATAGATTCTAATACTTCTACTAGTTAAATAAGTATTTTATAATTCAAAAGTGCAAATAATTTATTAAAATACAAAAGATAACTTTTACTAATTGGATAAGTTAATAATAAATCAAAGATAATAATAAGTAAAAGATTATTTAGAAATATTAGTTAATTTTTATATTTTTATTACTTGTAAATTACTTTACACTTATTTCTTAATTACTTCTTAATTATTTTTAAATTACTTTATTCTATATTAAATTATATCTGTTTAAATATATATAAATATAATACAGATCTATATAATGAGTAATATTACTTAAAAATAATTATAAAATTAATTTAGAAAAAGTATAATATCAAGAAATGATAAGTATAATACTAATTTAATCTAAGTGATACAATTTAAATTAGAGTAATATTAGTGCTATATTAATTAATATTAAACAAAATTAATTTAAAATATAATGAATTTAGATCCAATAATATTATAATAAAATAAATAATGCAATATTAAAAAGAAATAATTAATGCTTTAATAAATTATATATAAATTAGATAAATTAAATAAATTAAATAATTAAAAATAAAATTATAAATAGAAAAATATAAATAAAAATATAAATAATTTTTAAAATTATATTACATAATATTTTATATGTGATTCAAAATATCAAATAATAATAATATTAAAAATAAATTTTCTAACATTTTGGTAAAGTATTCTTTCATATATAATGAGATTTATTTAGATAAAAATATTATATATATAAAAAATAAGAGTAAAAAAAAATAAAAAATAAAAATAATATAAATTAAAGAAAAGATATTAAGATTATTTTGAAAAAGATAAAATAATGAATATATTTATAGTATTTTTCAAAAAAAAGTATTATGATACTAATATTATAATAAGAGTATTAATAAGAAATTTATATATTCTATTACTACTTTTGATTCAAATAAAATTTGTTATTTATAAAATATTTTTAATTGTATATTATTAATTAATTTCTTAAATAACTATTCTTGTTAATTTTGCAATTTATATACTTTATTCTGATAAATTTCATATATATAGTATTATTTTTTTTATTGAGATTTAAACTTGTTTTTATATTTCACATATCTTTACATATTGTAATCTAGAACTTTGTCTTTAATTTTAAATTAATGTACTTTTTTTAATTATCTATCATATTATTTTTTTACTTCTCTTAAGAAAAGTTAATATTTTTCTTGAAATTATTAACTTATTTAGATAAATAATTAATTAAAATAAATATTCTATTTAATAACTGTTTTTCAATTTTAACTTCTTTTTTGAGTGTTATTTCAAATTTTAATTCTATTAATAATTATACTTCTCTTCCATATGTCAAAAAAAATAATTCATATTAAATAATATTATTTTGTAAAGTTTGATAAACAAATAATGTGACTAAAATATAATTATTATATTCTTTATCTAAAGTAATAGTAAATTTTTGTAATATTATTAATAATATTCTATTGAATTATTATTTGTTTATGAATAATTTAGTGATAAATATTTGTGCTATATTTTAAATTTACTAGTAAGTTCTTTTATAATTTGTACTGTAAATTCTGTTTTTTGATCTGATTATAATATTTTTGAATATTTATATTGACAAATAATTTCTTTAAATATAAATTTAATAACAATTACAGCTTCTTTGTGAGATATTACTTTTGCTTCAAGTCATTTAATTAAATAATCTATAGTAATTACAATATATCAATTCTTTTATTAGATTATAGTCAAACCTCTCTATAATCATCACTCTCAGGAAAGCAAAATTTGATGACTATAGAAGGAATATGACTATAGAGAGATTTTTATATGTAAATGGGAAAGCAAAATAGAGTGATTATAGATAGATGTGACTATAAATGGATGTGACTATAGAGAAATTTAACTGTAATTTACAAAATTTAATAAAATCTATTACAATATGATCAAAAGATTATCCAACTTTAATAGAATATAAAGATTTTTTAAATTATCAACTTTTAGTAAATTGGTAGATAGAGCAAGTTTTTACAAAATTTTTTATATTAGTTCTTATTTTATTCTATTAATATTATATAGCAATTCATTGATAAGTTTTATTATATTCAAAATATCCAAAGAGAGAATTTTTATGCATTTCTTTTATTATTACTTCTATTTCAGTTTCTTTTAATACTCAAAATAAATTAATAGCTTCTTTTTATCAGTTAATTTTAAATAATAATTCATTTTATAGAATAAAATATTTGAATTATTATTATAATTATTTCTTTTATTATTTAGTAAGTGTTGAGTTATAAGTTTTATTATTCAGAAATTAAAATAAGTTATAAATTTATTTTTGATAATATTAATTATATTAGATATTAATGATTAATAAAGTTTATTCAAAATAAAGTATTATCATTTTGATTTACTCACTTAGATCAATAATTAATTATGAAGTTATATTTTATTATTATAGTAATCCATCGAGATATTCTTGATATTAAATTTGTTTGTTTAGTACAAAATTATTATAATATATTATAATTAGTTATAATTTCAAAAATTGTTTCAAGTAAGTAATATTTAAATTATTAAACAATTTAAACTATAGCTAGAACTTCTTTTTAATAATATTATATTAAGTTTCAGTTAATTTAAGAGAAATACAATTATTCTTTCTTAATTTTAATTATCTTTTTATAAGAATATGATTTCTAGTTCAAAATTAAAGATATTAATATAAAGATAAAACTTTTTTGTGAAATCTAAATAGATTAATATTAGTATAATTATAAGTAGCTTCTTAAGTTTGTTAAAAACTTCTTCTTGAATAATAATTCAAATAAAAATGATATTATTTTATAATAATTTGAATAATAGAGTAATAATTTTTGATAATCTTTTAATAATATTCAGCTAATTCAAGAAATAATTGAAGTTTTTTTATAATATAAGATTGTGAAAACTTCAAAATCTTTTGTATAATCAATAAATTAGATAATATTTCATCTTTTATCAGATAATATTAGGGAGCGTAGTTCTGTATAAATCTTTGAATCTGAAGTTTTTTGAAGATCTTTGAATCTGGTAGCAATCTGTGAAGAAAAAAATAAAAATTCTGTGCAAATTTGCAATAATACACAGATCTGTGCAGAATTTTTATTTTTTTAAAAACATTCTGCACAGAACTTTATAATGATATTTATAATAATAGTATTTATAACAATACTTTGTAATAATATTATTCAATTTCATAGAATAATAAAATTTGACATTTAAAGAATAATAAATATAGTTTATTGTAAATATTGATAATAAAAATGATAAAAAACTATATAAATATCTATATATATATGCAATCTAAATCAGTAATCTTTTTTTTAAAAAGATAATTCTTTATCAGATTTTAAAAAAAATTACAAAGAATATTATATTAAAGAAACTTATAAAATTGTCATAATCATCATCTTCATTACCATCATTATCTTCAATCATAATCACCTCATCTCCTTTTTCATCTTTAATAACTTTCTTGCATAATTTTTAGCACTTTTTTCAGGTCACTTCCTTCTCTTCTTCAATCTCTTTTTTCATTATATTTTCTATCATTACCTAAGTTGCTGGCTTATTGCTTTCAATTAATCTCTGAATAACAAATATCTGTGAAGAATTTTCAATCAAATTTCAAAGTTATAAGAATTATTTACCATAAATGCATGTACACGTCTAGCTACTGATTTGTCTTTGTACTTTATACCAGAACTGGCTAATAAAAACTTTAAAAATAATTACTTACTTGTGTACAATAAGTTCTTATGGTGCCTTTTCATCCTCCATCCCAATAATTAATCTATTGTTGTAAAAAGGGTTTGCCACTTTGATCCAGAAAAGTGAGATAATTGTTTTGATAACCGTAACGACTACGATTTAAAGGGTTTACGCTTTTGGTCCAGAAAAAGTGAACGCATTGTTAACATTTGTGAAACACGTGAACAAAACCAAACCGATAATTGAATACAACAATATTGGCACAGGACTTTGGAAATCTAATAAATAAAATAATTTTAGTTCAATTCGTTTCTCCCACCCAAGTTACAGATTAACAGCTAATTCCTATAATCGGTCACTAACCTGTAACAATACATGTAATTCTAGCGGGAACTATTAATTTTGGTACATGTAAATGCCGATACGAAGATCAGGTAACTAGATTATGACGAGAATGCTTCAACTTCAGATAGTAAAACCTGTTCTATATACATTTCGTAAATTGTCCAGTTGCCAATGTACGTATAGCGATAGCGATAGAACGAAAATCATGTAAATCACGTTTCATAATTTTCATGTCAACACTGGTTTTTATTCTAGATTTTTAAACAATTTCGTATAAAATAAAAGTCAATTTATTAATAACTTTTTGAAATGATTTTGTACAAATTATAATGATAAATAAAGCTGTATTTATAGAAATCACGTCTCTCATGTGTAACTATAAAAAAAATATTTGAATTTGTTTTAAGAAAAAGAATCAGCGTCTTCGCAACTTATATAAGGCTTAGCGTTAGCGTTAATAATTTCTATTCTTTATTAATATTAATATTGTCAGATTTAGACAAAAAAACGTAGCGGTAGTACGTACAATATTCAAAAACAATTTATATCGATATGCGTTGTGATTGTATAAATACTTTCGATAAATTGGTGTTTCACTCTTTTTCTAATATATGCTTAACTATAAAAAATCTCAAGCTTAAGTAATTATTATACACAAACTCTGAAAATGGTTTCTATTCAATACACATTGGCAATATCTACGTTTTTATTTACCTTGGCAGTAGCAAGTCCAAGTTTGCAAAGCCGGTAAGAATATTAAACATTATCTATTTGTTAAAAACATTAAACATAATCTTGTTCCGTACAGATACGACGAATCTCAAATTATGCGCGACTGGTATGGAAATCCTAGCGGAATGGTTGACACTCAATCGGTAAAAGAAAATCCATACTTCGGAAACGGTCTACCACAAGCTCAATAAATCTAGCAAGAATATTCATATTTACTACTTTTTCACATTTTGCTGACGATTTTTTTTAGTATAAACAAATAAGTCATTCCAATTTAAATTAGTTTCATACATACTAATTGAGAAAAATTATTAATTTCTTTGTCATATTCATTCATTATTAAGAATCTATGTAAATATTAAACGTGGTAAACTAAATCTTAACAAAATAAAGGTTTAAACATATTTATATCAAAACTTAAGAATGAATTAAGCTTTTATTTGAGCATAGCTGATAAAATTTTAACTATACAAACCATTAAATTGACAACTCAAAACCAAGATTAGAAGTTAATATTTTGTTTACAAGTTTCACTAATATTAATACATGTACTTTGTATGATGTCCATTTACAGCAATGACCGTGGCAATTCGAACGGGCATATTATAAATAAGCTTTCGATAGTATTCGAGTGCAAGGTCCTTTCAATATTGTTCGAGTTCTGTGAGACTATATGGTGCAGGGGATCATCAGTCAGTGAATAGCGCCGTTCACTTCATACCATAGATTTTCTATGGGATTCAAATCGGGACACCAAACTAACGTCTTGATTTTAGAATCTTCGCAAACGGTTGTTGCAATCTTTAATATATGTGGTGTTGATTATCCTCCTGAAACTAAAGATGGAGTTGCAACCATGTGATGCTTATTTATCACAATATTCTTAAATTAAATTTAAAAATTATACATTAAAATACAAATTCTTAGATTTATTTTAATATAAAAACAAAAATATTTGTTAATAAAAATAAAAACTTCAATTTTTACTATATTTTACTATACTTTTTTTGGATTTCCAGTAATTATTATAAATGTATATATCTATAAGATTTTTCTACTAAATAATATTCAATTATAGTATTCTAAGAATATTATATTAAATAAATTATATTATAAATTAATTCTTAATATATAGAGAACCAATCTTTGATTTTTATTATATACAAATTCATCACTGACTTGTAATACTTTCATATATGACTTCAAGAATTGTGAAGTATATGAACATCTTGTAATTGTACTGTTCACATATAGTACATAAAGCAAATACAGCATTATTTTCAGCACTTTCTTGAATTTCTTGAAATAAAGTTTCTTTTTTTAATCTTTTATAACAAAAAACAAAGCAAAAATTATAATTTATTTGTGTTTAGATATTTACAATAAACTCGAAAAAAACTGACTTGCTGAAATTATTATTAATGATCAATCATTTATTATCGTTAAATGTTCTGAATTTTATGATATAAAACTTGTAATTTAGATATACATATTCTATTATCAAATATAATACAAATGATATAATAAAATATTTAAAAAATATAAATTTAAATATGATATGTATTAAAGATAAGCAATAGATTTCTTATAATAATAATTATAAATTAATACTTTTTAATAGAAAAATTAAATTTCACATTGAATGAATAAATTACATTCAATATTATTTTATTTCTTAAAATAACTTGTTGTTATATTGGTAATCATTGGAATTTGACGAACATTCTGTGTTTATCACTAAAAAATTAATTCTGGTATTTTCCAGAAATTTGAGTTTTTTCCAATTTTAAAATCATTTTTTTTATTTGCCAGTTTTTTTTCCAATTTTAAAATCATTTTTTTTTATTTTCCAGTTTTTCCAATTTTAGATTGGAAAAAATCATTTGTTTTTGTTTTCCAATTTTGAAATCAATTTAAATTCAAAAATAGATCAAAAATATATAAAAATAAAACTTGACATTTCTACGCATTCTATTTTATTAATAATTTTTGATGCTGTTGTATTTCTTTTGATTGCCACTGTAGTCACATATAACCGGCAAATATCCAGTTTTTAAACGAGATTTTAAAATCGGTTTAAGAACCAGTAAATATTAGAAATATAAAACAAATAAAAAACAAGTTTTTAACGAAGTTTCATAAAGATCATTAAATGGAATATTATTGAGTTCTGTTTAAAACAGGTTTTATCCATTTTATATTTCTGATATTTGCCAGTTTTTTGTGGAGTTCTGACCAAGATCACCATATTTAATCGGAACTCAACAAAAAGCTGGATATTTTCTGGATATTTAATTTCGATTTTTTTTTGCAGAGGAACTTATTCTAACCCTTTCCGACCAAATGGAACATTATACATGCTGTAGAAACTATTCTTCTTAAAGCCAAAATGCCAAACCGGAATGCCGAAACTAATTACGAAATTATTTAACGTTAAGCTTCTTTTAATAGTATCCGAATTATATTCAAAATCAATTGAATTCTTTAAATTCTTAAATATTTTTTTTTATTTGATTATTTGAATTGCTTGCTGAAATTTACCTTTTTCAAAAAAATAGTTTCTACATGTACGTAGCTTGAATCTGATATACATGTACATACATACGTACTTATTATCTTTATACATGTACAACGCAAAATATACTACCGCTACACGTATATTGTTATACACACTAACGTTAAACTATGGAGTCATGATTGGCCAAACTTAGAACTAAAGCTAGGGTAGGGATAAAAATCAACGTTAGTGCTGGGAAATAAGATTAGTGGTGGCCGTTTCTTGAAGATTTTCTTTGTTTACGTGTCTTTCTTTTTCTTTTTCTTTCACTTTTATTTTATTTATCTTTTTTTCCATAAATTCGTCATTCCACGTCCACACTTATTTCATCATACGTAACTTCATTGAGCATCTGTATATCTGTTCAATACGTTTTATTGTAGGACTCGTACCAAACTCTTATTCTGAAGTGAATAACCCTTTTCTGACCACATCATACTACTGTACATGTATCTTGTCTATGGTGTCGGCGTGACCTATCACATATGCATGTGTACGTAGTTTTTTCATCACTATAAAATATATTAAATATAGATATAATCATTCTAGTACGTACATGTACATGTATATCGATATTAAAAGCCACAAGTTATTCATAGAAAGGAAAAACATTTTTGAATACAACTCGATCACTATATTATTTCTCAACAATTATAAGTACATGTAAAATGTTTTACTCGGAATAATAATTAATACATTATTAGATAAATTGAATCAACTAATAAATAATGACTTTCTTGTTTCGCATTTCTATTATTTGCTTTTGCTTAACCTTTGTGGCAATATCTACCCTAAATGTAGAGAGTAGTCCACTTTCAATAACAAAACGATGGGAAGAAGGTTGGGAATGGTATCAAGGGTCGCTGTAGTAAGTTAAAAAATCATATTTGTTAATACTCAATCAATAAAGATTAATTATTATTCTGTATACTTTTCTTTTGAAAATTCGATATTGAACACACAGCGACGACTCACAAACACCTCGTGGTGTATCAGGCGTTTTTGGTGGCAGCGGCGTCGGTGTTGGTGGCAACGGTGGTGATATTAATACCTTTTAATCTTCACTTTTAAAGTCTATTTTTATTTTTAAAGGTTAATACGAAATTATATGTATAAATTAGTACATGTATCGGTATATTCAAATATAAAGCTGTTACGTATTTATTATCGAAGAATGATATCGTTATGTAGAATCACAACTGCTCAATTATTTATTTTGTGTTTTTCTTGCATTCCTCTCCGATAATAGTCACGGCTTATAGTACATGTACATATACCACATCTAGTATTTGAGTTTAAAAACTTGACTTCCAATAAAAATAGAAAACTACTACTTTCATTTTACCATTTCGCATTAAAAGTCCGCTGTGATAATAAATGAATTTCAAATATAAATTCTAATCTAAAGCTATAATAATATTCTATATAATGATAAGGATAAAATAGTTTATTATCTTAGTAATTTAAAGAATTACTTCGATGTTTTGAATAAAAAAACATAGTGATAAATGTGTTGCTAGAAATCATCATATATATACAGAGCATATGTAAACTTGTATGATATTGATATTGATATTGATATTGATATTGATATTGATATTGATATTGATATTGATATTGATATTGATATTGATA